TTCTGCGCCCTTCTCTCGTTGTTTCGAATCGAAGCTTTGAAAAGGGGAGACTTGGCGTAACTAGTAAAGTTGTTGCCATGCGACCTTGTGATCGCAGGTTCTAACCATGGAAACAGATGATTAGAGAAAGAAGTAAAGAAAAGAAAGAATTGGAGTGAATGAAGATGAAATGCGTTCAACAGAGTAGCCTCATATTTATAGAAAGGCGACGGCAGTTCGGCGATGCTAGTCGCAGACCAACACTGGCACACATTTGACATTATGGGGAAGAGCGCCGACGTGACATTTTCGGTCACTTCAATCACCTACGTCACAGGTATGACATCATCATGAGAAGCTCGGGAAAATCGAGGTGCAAATCATTTCTTATCATCTTATTCTAAGAAACGCGGGGACTATCTGTATACAGTTAAAATCATATGCCCCCGATTTATAGGCTCGAGGTTCCGTCCTAGGCCCGAGTCCGGGCGAGGTCAAGTTTGAAACCGGTGGACCAGATTCGAGCTCAAAGACATAGTGTAATGCCCGGAGATAGGAGTCCGAGGAATACCGAGGCCAAGTGTGCTCGACCCCGAAATAGTACCGTTATGGGTTTGTAACATAATGAGCTAGATTCCTGTCACGTCCCCAGGATCATGGCGTAAATCCTGAAATAAGATTGTACGATTCCGTACTAGGCGGTTAGACAGTTGTAACAAGAATATTCCCTACTGTAAATAGAAATATTCCTTATTTAGGGTTCCCATATTATAAAAAGGGGACCCCAATCATTTGTAACATCATCTGAGGACTGAGCAAAGAATATACTCTCTACCTTTCTCGCTTCATCAGCATTGTCCTTTAGCTCTATTGTTCTTACTTTACTTTATTTACTTAATTGTTCTTATTATTCCAAGCCTACCTCGAGGTCACTGAGCTCGAGGCCACTGCTGCTAAGTAACATTGGTTTGATTCACTTTTCTCTTTCATTTCTACTTCATACTTCTTGATTATTAATTGGTATTGAACTAAATTACGTATCTTTAAAACCACAAATCAAATTTAATTGTTACTCGTATTTTGAGGTAAACATGACTGCACAAACCTCATATTAGTCAAGGCATCTATCAGTTTTAAGTTCCATTGCCTAGGTGCTTGCTTGAGGACATATCAAGACTTGTGAAGCTTACAGACCTTCTTGTACTCCCTCTGGCTTGAAAAGCCATCTGGAATCTGCATGTAGACATCCTCAACAAGATCTTCCTATAGAAAGGCATTGTGGATATCCATTTGAAAGATGTACCAATTGGAAGCTGCAGCTAGAGCCACCATTGTTCTGATAGTCACCATTTTGGCTACATGAGAAAAGTTCTCCTTGAAGTCAAGGCCCTCTTGTTTACAATAACCTTTAGCAACCAGTCTTGCTCTGTATCTTTTCACCTCCCCATTAGACTTGTACTTCACTTTAAACACCCATTTGCATCTTATGGGAACCTTATCATGTGGCAGATCAACAATAGACCAAGTCTTATTATCCTCTAAGGCTAAGATCTCAGCCTTCATAACATTCACCCACCGTGGATCCTTGCTTGCTTCAGCAAATGTCCTGGGCAAAAAAACAACACTTCATTTTAAACACCCATTTGCATCATATGGGAACCTTATCGGGTGGCAGATCAACAATAGACCAAGTCTTATTATCCTCTAAGGCTGAGATCTCAGTCTTCATAACATTCACCCACTGTGGATCCTTGCTTGCTTCAGAAAATGTCCTGGGCTCAAAAACATCAGAATATGCAGCAATAGGACCCATGTAAGTAGAAGTCAATTGATCATAGTTCACATACTGAGCTATAGGATAGGCGCAGGTGGACTACTTAGTGTGCACTACATAGTCTTGCATCCAAATAGGAGGTCTGGAAACTCTAGAAGACTTTTTGAGTAGTAGAGGAGAGGCCAGGAGAAGCAGGAGCGCTAGACACAATAATAGACTGAGTCAGGGAAGGCATCTCACAGATAGGAGCTTCAATCTCCACTATGGGCTGCACAACTTCAGAGGATGAGATAGGAACATCCACCTTTGAAAGCTGCAGAACTAGGAAGAGTGGAGAATGACTAGTGAAAAGGAAAGATATCTTCATTAAACACAGTATCCGTGCTGACAAAGAAGTGATAAGTAGATAGATCATAGAGAAGATAGCCATTTTGGGAAGATGAGTACCCAAGATGAACCGTGGGAGATGCTCTAGGATTGAATTTATCTGTCTTTCTCACATTAGTAGCATAACATAGGCTACCAAACACTCTCAAATGATGCAAGGAGGGTGGTCGAAGAAATAATTTCTCAAAGGGTGATTTCCCTTTCAATAGAGCAGCGGGCAATCTACTAAACAAGTAAAGTGCAGTAGGAACACACTCACCCCAAAACTTCAAAGGGATGAAGGCTTGAAACCTTAAAGCTCTAGCCATGTCTAGAATATACATATGCATTCGTTTTACTATACCATTCTGTTGAGGAGTGTAGACACATGAGCTTTGATGAACTATCCCAAAGTCCTTTAATAGAGAATTAATCTGAGTGTTGACAAACTCAGATCCATTATCAGTTCTCAAACATTTTACATCACAACTGATTTCTAACTAATATCAAGAAATCTTTCAGAACAGCAATTGAGTCTGCCTTAGTAGTCAACAAGAAAATCCAGGTATATCAAGACAAATCATCTACTAGGGTAAGGAAATACCTCTTACCATCATGTATAGGTACTTTGTAGGGACCCCAAACATCAGCATGCACAAGATTAAAAGGATGAACAGAACAAGTATTACTGAGTGTAAAAGGTAATCTTGACTGCTTGGCAAGTGGACACACAGTACATAGATGATCTTTTAATGTACAGCTTTTAAACCATCATTACTTTTCAAGACTCTCAAAACGAGCATAGCCTAATCTTCTATGCCACAAAGAAGTATTGTCACAAGTCTTATTTATTGTATCACCACTAGGTTTATTGCTTGAACTAGTAATGGTATTTACAAGTGAATGATGCAGACACTTATCCTCTTTATTCACTGTCTTGGAGGGAGATGCTAGACAATTTGCTTGAAGAATGTAGAGACTATGCCCTTCTTTACCAATCCCTATCACTTTTCCGCTGAAGAGCTCCTAAAATAAACAGAAATCAGGGAAGAATGCAACCAAGCAACTTAGCTCCTTAGTGATTTTTGAAACAGACAACAGATTGTACTTAAACTTTGTAACATATAAGACATTGTGAATTGTTATATCTTGGAAGATTGAGGACTCTCCTGATTTTACTAATAGAGACTTGACCACCAACACTAGTTACACTGTTGGCATATGTGTTGCTATAAGTATTTGGAGGCCCTCCTTTCTACTTAGGTTTAAAATATACTGGATAGCCATTCAACTTGAAGGAATTTGCCCTGGTGTGGCCCTTACAGTAGTCACATTGAACCAAATCCTTGCTAGAGTTGTTCTTTTGTTTGTAAACTCTTGCTAAAGCTTTGTTACCCAGTATGGTTGTAGAGTCAGTAACTTCATCACCAATACGAATAGTAATTCCAGCACCATTTTTTCTCTGACTCTCAACATTAATAATCATGACAAGTCATAAGAACTTGATCCTTAGCACGTTCAAATAATTCATTTAAACCTATCAAAAATTGATATAATTTTGTGTCTGATAATGTTTAGCGTGTCTTCTAGACTCAGGACAAGCACAAGAGGATGGGGGTGCTAGGGCCTCGTACTCATCCCACAATTCTCTAAGTCTGGAGAAGTACACGGACATAGATGACACACATTGAGTCAAGGTAGCAATTTCCTTGTGAAGATAGAAGCCTCTAGAGGCGTTGACTTTATCAAACCTTTCCTTAAGATCTTCCCACGTCCTGTGTGCATTAGATGCATAAATCACAGTACCAATGAAATTTGGTGAAACGGTATTTATAATCCAAGCTAGAACAATTGCATTACACCTATCCCACATTTCGTGTAGACTATGATCACACATTTCTCTCATACAGGTACCGAGAACAAAGCCTTGCTTATTTTTGCCATGCAATACAATTTTTATAGATCTACTCCAAATTGAATAATTTTCATATCCTTGAAGTTGAATGGAGATTAGTACCAAATCTTGCGTGTTTGATGGATGAATGTATAAAGAATGATTGTGATGAACTAGCTCCATGTCATGAAGATTTGGGGTTGGAGCCATAGCACCCTGAGCAGCAAAGACGGAATCATCTTCTTCAATTACCATTATGTTTCTTCAGAAAACTTAGTTATGTTACTGATTTGGAACAACAACAAGCAATTAAAGATGAATTTCACAGTAATTCGTCGAGATTCAACTGGAATTAACAAGTTCCAGAAACCCTTGGTTGCAGGAGTACTTTTCTTAGATTGAAGAAATAGCTCGATCTAAAAACAGATATACTCCTCTAATACTCCTCCGTTGTAGCTGAGCTGACCGATTTATAAAGCTCTGATACTATGTTGATGAGCTCAGCCATCGTGAATGAGCGAGAGAGTCTCACAGAAGATTGAGAGAGAAATAGCTCAATTGATAAGCTCTAAAAGTTCATAGACAAAATGAAATGGCTCTGTATGTGTTTACAAGACTATTAACTATCTTATATACTGACCGACTAACAATTATATATTAACTAATCTAACTCTTCCCTACTTAACTTAATACCTAACTGACAGTTATACATTGCTAAGTGACAGCTTTATCACCACTAACTTCTACAAAGTTTTCATTTAATATCTACTTCTTAATAAGTGGTGTTGTACTTTCATTAACACACTGAAATATAATTTTTCTTCAAATTGCTTGCTTTTATTTTCTTTTGTTACTCAATAGTTTCTTTAAGGGAGGATCTATAAAAACAGTCTCTTTACCGTGAAGGTAGGAATAAGCTTTGTATACACACTATTTTTTCCCGGCCCAATTCTTATATAATACTTAGATTTATTACTATTATTTTTGTTGTTGTATTCACTAGTTTCTTGGTTCCAAAGGGAAAGCTAAAGAAAAAAAGAAAGTAAGAGAAAAATCTACTTGGATTGCTGGCGCTGGGCGGATTTTATTAGAAAACTTGCACATGCGATCCCAAGTGTGGCGGTGAATGGCCATGGAAACAGCTTCATGTCCCATTCTCAAGACTTTCTGTTTCAGCACCAACAACTCTTCCAAACTGTATAACGTTCCAAGAAAATCCCTCTCCTTTTTGCCTCCAAAAAACTACTTGAGCACTACTTCTAGCATTGGCAAGTTGTACAGTGATGGGTATTTTGTCAATTCGTCAAGCTCATTCTCCAGCAGTACCCAAGATAACCCACCTCAGCAACTCGCTCTTCTCCTTGAAGTTGAAGGGTACAATTTTTTTTATTCGTATTAACTTCTCAAATATCAAATTGAAATTCGAGCTGAATACATTTTTTATGTAATTTAAAGTATGAAAAAGTTTGGTACTTTGACAACGATTTTGGGAGAGAGTGAGTGTGTGGATAAGGTGAAGTGGGTAGATAAGTTCTCCACCAAGTATGCCTGATATTTTATGTCCTAGCATAATTCAGTATTTGAATTGGTTAAATTAGCTGAAATTAAACATATCCTCAAGCATAATTTGAGTTTGTTAGTCTTTTTATTGTCCAAGAACTTTTATCTGTATGTTGTGGCTTCTTTGGTGCTTAAATAGTGTTGATTGAATGAAGAAAAAAAACTGCAATATAAGACAATTCATTTAGAGTTTCCAATCACAAAAGGTTCATTTAATCTGGAAGCTAGGATTATCCAGAATATTATGGCAAATTGGAGGGAGGAACCTACATTGTAGAAGCGTTCAGTTAGAGTTTCGAAATCCCAAAGGTTTTATGTTCAAGGTTTTGGTCTACCCGTATTTATTTTCAGCAGCATTTTCTGTTTTTCATCTAACTAGTTCTATTTTACTTTCTTTCCTTGAAAACTTTTATTTGTTTAGGGTTTTAATGGATGTGTATCGCTTGGGCAACCGTCAAGCCTTCAATGCAGGTTGTGAAGATTTCTTTTTTATTTTATCAAATAAATTTTAGATGTCTTAAGGGGAAAGTTTTTTCTGATATGACCTTTTTTCTTGATGATTAAGAAAGTCAATCTTAATGACTGAATGCACCAGGATGGTGCACAAGCTAATGTATAACAAATGAAAACAAGTCTACCTTGGATAATCCAAATGTCTTTTTTCTTCTACTAATGTCAGCATTCCGGAAGCTTGGATTGGACTGTGCAAATTGGAGCCAGCCAGTTTATCAGGATCTTGTGAGGTGTGTTGTCCAGGTGATTTCGTGATTTAGCTGAGGCATGCATGTATCGTTTCTGAATAAGACTATTGTTACTTAGTTGATTTTTTTCTCTTAAATAATTTCTAACTTTTCCAGAATGTGTAACCTTCTTAGTTTCATATTTGACCTCAGTCCACGATATCTTAAATTGTCCTTCTGACTAGACAAGCATTGACCTAAACATATGGTACTTGCTTTCCCTAGGAAGAGCATAGGTGATGAAGAAAAGATGTTGGTCTTGTTTTTTAACAGAGTAAGCTCACATGGAAAAGTTCATATATGTGTTCTTGTATACATTCTAAAAAGTCTTTCAAGTACACCCCCCCCCCCCCCCTTCCAGTTTGAATAAGCTTGTTTTCTGTTCAGATTGGCTGGCCCACATCACTGCCCACAAGTGAGAAGGAGACATTTATGAAAAGTGTTCTGCGTGAAAAGGTATGCATTCAAAAGTAAAGTTTAATAGGTTTTTTAACATATGTTGATAAAATCTCGTGCCCCTTGTTAGATATATTTAGAATATCAGTAGTAATACATAGCTGCCAACATATTATCTGCAAACTCTAGTCCTGCGGCTCCTGCCCACATCTCTAGTTATAAAGGGCTATCATAGAGCTTCAAATTGAGTGTAAGCCAAACACAAGACAGTAGGCCTGTTATCGGAATAAGAACCTAAAATAACATTCCGGATAAGGTAATCTCATAGAGCTGTTGACACGCTTAGCTCTGCTCCATTGACTAAAATCAAATTGCATTTTTGTTTTCATGTACATCTATGGCTGTTATATCCAATCTGATAGTTCTTGTTTCCTGCGCGTTTCTTTTGTTTTCTTTTGCACTGGTTTAATAGTTTGAGATTTTAATAAAAAAATTTGGTATTGGGTTTTCTCACTTGTACTAACTGTTATATCCAGTGTGATTGTTGTTGTTTTCCGGCTCCTTTATTTTTTACTTTATTGGAACTTGTTTTGCAGTGGTTTGATATTTTTTTAGAATAACATAATATTGCTTACTTGATCTTCGTTGAATTGATAATCTGAACAATGGGTTCATTTCTTGCAGAAAATTGCATTGGATGAACTGGTCATGTCAAAATCTTTACCTTTAAGACCTGGTGTTGAAGAGTGAGTACTCTTTTCTCACCAAAAGTCATTTGCCCATGTGTTACATGTATTCTCCTCAGGCGATCTTCTATTACATGATGAAGTAATATCATAGTCTGGATACCTATCAAAAAAAATATCTTAGTCTGAAGTTCAGTGATTTATGAGGCATGCTGATGATTTCTCCTTTTACCTTGTATCAGAGTGAGGTTTCTTATGGTTATTCCATTCTTTTCTATAAGCAGTTTTTGGGTAATGCTGGGCGCGGTAAGTGTAAAAAATGAGAAAGATTTCCGTCCACGCGGTTGAAGCTCTGAATCATGTTTCCATATTTTCTTTGAAGATTTATGTGTTGATTTTAATATTGCTGTCAGGTTTTAAGTTTATTTTCATTAAAAATTGAGGCTATTCGGGTTTTTCTCCTTTTATTTTCAGAAACTTTTAGAGAGATCTCACTCAAAAGCGTAGGTTATTTAATGTTTTCCAATTTGAGTTGGTGTCCGAACCATCTTAAACTTTCAAGTTGCTGTCCTCAATGATTGGTAGTAATCTGTATCAGAATGGATTCGTGGCATGCCTCTTGCAAATACTCAGCTATTTTTTCTATCAATTAGATCTGTGAGTTAATTTCTAGGGATTTGTCATAGTTTTTGATGTTATCGTAATTATGTGCTGCTCTGTTGGTGCTTTTTGTAGCCTTCCCATAGTAGGTTATTCCTAGGGCCCTCTTCCTTTCCTGACAATTCTATTGCATTTTTCACTTACTATGTGTACCATGGCAGCCCTCATACCAATTCTTTGACCTTCATTTTTTCCTTTTCTCATTCAATAAACTTTGGAATTTGGAGCCTCTGTTAAGAGTATCTAATTCTTCAACTGCATGATTAAGGTGTACATGTGTTTTCTCTTTTCTTATCTTTGTTACCTAGCTTTTACATTTCCAAAGTTCAGCAGTATTTGTCATAAGCTATGCTGATATATTAGCTAAGCATCCTTATCATGTCCTAGGAATGTTAGGAATGCCATATACAGATATACTCATCCACCTTTATGCAAGATACTGTTTTTATTTATTTTTCCATTCATACAATTTAATGGACGCGGAGTTTATTTTAAAGTGAGTGTAGCATCATTTGAATTACCGGAAGTGGTTTCACTCCAGCTACAGTTATTAAATTTACAACAATAGTGAACTTAAGAAATCGGAGGATATTTTTTATATACAAGCATGTCTGTCTTGCCTCCTATGTATCTGGTTGTAAGCCAGTGCATTCGACAATTCCTCAATATGATGTAGGTCATGAGTAAAATAAAGTTTATCACATTACTGATTCATAGATTTAGTTGTATCATTTTCAAATGCCATAAGAGTTTACTTTTCAAAGATAATTCTCATTATTTTCCTAAGGAGGAGTTTAAGGTAAGAATATTTTGCGTTACGTTATCAGGATAACTCTCTAGCTTACCTCCTCGACTACCAGTGTACAAGTTTGTTTTATGGCATGGTCTATTTTTATTAATTTATTAGGTTGATCTTCCTTAATTTTGTTATATTCTCGTAATAATTCTCCTATGCATTTTGCAGATTTATTGATGAAGCTTATGAAGAAGGTGTCCCAGTAGTGATGCTGACATCATACTGTAAATGTGGGGAAAAACCAGCCAGGTTTACTGCTAATTACAACTCAGTTTTGCATTTCAAATATGAATCTGTAAGAAACATATTTTATTTTAGCACTAAGTTCTTTTACATAGCTCTAAGTGACGTATGACTGAATAAAACTGAAAAAGTGAAGTCTAACATCTAAAGACTGAAATTGCTCTTGCTGAACACTTAGGATTGTTGGAGGGGCGGCCACGACTATGGGTGCCTGGAAGAGTGGTGGGGATTCTAGCGCTATGTGGACGGCAACGACGGACTGTATAAGGGAGGCAACGAGAGAGGTGTTGGGAGTTTCTAAAGGTTACTCTGGTGGGCACCGAGGCGACTGGTGGTGGAATAACGTGGTCCAAAGTAAAGTGGAAGCCATTAAGTTAGTAGAGAGCACCGACGAGGATCAGAGGAGAGCGGATAGAGAAAGATATAAGGATGCTAGGAAGGAGGCGAAATTAGCGGCCACAGAGGCTAAGATTGCTGCATTTGGTCGGCTGTACGAGGAACTTGGGTGCAAAGGTGGGACAAGAAGTTATTTCGGTTGGCCAAAGCGAGAGAGAAGAAGGCTCGCGACCTGGATCAAGTAAGGTGCATTAAAGACGAGGATGGTCGAGTATTTATGGAAGAGGCCCAGATTAGGCAAAGATGGTAGTTGTACTTTCATAAACTTCTGAATGAAGAGGGGGATGGAAACATCGTGTTAGGGCAATTGGGGAACTCCGAGAGCCACCATGACTTTAGGTATTGTAGACGCTTTAAGGTTGAGGAGGTCGTGGGTGCGATGGGTAAGATGAGTCGAGGTAAAGCGACCGGACCAGATGAGATTCCAGTAGAGTTTTGGAGATATGCGGGTAGAGCAGGCTTGGAGTGGCTGACTGGCTGACTGGGTTGTTTAATGTTATCTTCGGGACGGAGAGGCTGCCCGGTGAGTGGCGGTGGAGTACAATGGTTCCGGTGTACAAAAACAAAGGTGATATCCAGAATTGTAACAACTATAGGGGTATCAAGTTACTAAGTCATACCATGAAAGTTTGGGAGAGGATGGTGGAAGGGAGGATAAGGAGGGCGGTGTCTATATCGGAAAATCAGTTCGGGTTCATGCCGGGTCGTTCTACTACGGAAGCTATCCACCTTATCAGGAGGTTGGTGGAACAATACAGGGATAGGAAGAGCGATTTGCATATGGTGTTTATTGACCTAGAGACGGCGTATGACAAGGTCCCCAGGGACATCTTTTGGAGATGTCTAGAGGTGAAAGGTGTGCCGGTGGCTTACATTAGGGCAATAAAGGATATGTATGATGGAGCTATGACTCGGGTTAGGACTGTGGGAGGTGACTCAGAGCCATTTCCGGTGGTTATGGGGTTACACCAAAGATCTGCGCTCAGCCCGTTCTTATTTGCCCTGGCGCTTGATGCACTAACACACCATATCCAAGGAGAGGTACCATGGTGTATGTTGTCTACTGATGATATAGTTCTGATTGATGAGACGCGATGCGGCGTTAATGGGAAACGGGAGGTATGAAGGCAGGCCCTGGAGTCTAAAGGTTTCAAGTTGAGTAAGACTAAGACGGAATATGTGGAATGTAAGTTCAGCGACGTGACAGGGGAAGCGGATGCGGAAGTCAGGCTTGACTCACAGGTCATCCTCAAGAGAGAAAGTTTTAAGTGCTTAGGGTCAATTATCCAAGGTGATGGGGAGATCGACGGGGATGTTGCGCACCATACTGGGGTGGGGTGCAGTGTTTTGGAGAGCGCGAAGCGCAAAAAAGCGACAAGGGCTCGCTTCGCTTCAAACGCGAAGCGCACGCTTTATTAAAGTGAAGCGCAATTCTTAAAAAACATAATGTAAAATTATAAATAATCAAAAACTTCAATTTAAATACTCAAAAGTAGGTACTAGGTACCACCAAATCATCCACAAATCATAGGACAAGCAAAATCAAAGCTACTAAATTACTAGAATCAACATTTTAATATCCCTATTAAGATATAAGAAAAAACATAATCAATAACTGAAAATACATATAATATATATAATAATTAATTATACAAACTGAAATATCATTTAAAAATCACATAAACTGAAAATATAACATATATAATAATTAATTTTAATTACTGAAATATACACTAAAAAATCAAATAAACTGAAAAATATAAAATATATAAATTATAGATAATGAAAGAAAGAAGTAAAAAAGAGAAGACAAAACTCAGAAGAAGAAAGAAGAAGGATGAAAGAAGACAGACAGAACTCCAGCCTAGAGAGTCAGTGACGAAAAAAATGAGAAAAGAAGAAAGAAAGAAAGAAAGAAGAAAAAAATGAGAAAAGAAAGGAGAAGAAAATTTACCTGGACTGGTCGACTGGAGCTGTGGACTGGTGCTGGTCTGCTGCGATGAAGAAGAGAAAAGAAAGCAGAAACTTTCTGTCCCAAAACCCTAATTTTTCGATGAAGAAGAGAGAAAATCGCAGCAATTGTGTTCTGTTATGTCGCGCAGCATTAGGGGTTTCTTTTGTATAAAATTAAAAACAGACCCAATCTTTTTTAAAAAAAAAACTAGGCCCAGATGCGATTTTTCTTCAAAAGCGATCGCTTCGTCGCTTCGCTCGCCTCGTCGCTTTTTTCTCTGAAGCGTGCACTTCAGATGTTCGTGTCGCCTTAGGCACAGAAAAGCGATACTCTGTCGCTTCGCGCTTTAAAGCGACGAAGCGTGCGCTTTTTCAAACACTGGTGGGGTGGATGATATGGAGGTTAGTGTCTGGAGTCTTGTGTGACAAGAATGTGCCACCGAAACTCAAAGGTAAGTTCTATAGAGCAGTGGTTAGACCAGCCATGTTGTATGGGGTTGAGTGTTGCCTGTCAAAAATTCACATATCCAGAAAATGAAAGTAGCAGAAATGAGGATGTTGAGATGGATCTCACTAGGCTGGATAAGATTAGGAATAAAGATATTCGAGAGAGGGTGGGCGTGACTCTGGTGGACGACAAGATGCGGGAAGCGCGACTTAGATGGTTCGGACACGTGCAGAGGAGAAGCCTAGGCGTGAGCGGTTGGCTTTGGCAGGTACGAGAAGAGGTAGAGGGCGGCCTAAGAAGTATTGAGCCGAGGTGATCAGACAGGACATGGCGCGGTCTAGATTTCCGAGGACATGGCTCTTGATAGGAAGGTGTGGAGGTCAAGCATTAGGGTTGTAGGTTAAGGGTAGTCGAGCGGTTTTCCCCTTTCTCGGTTTCCCTTTTTGTACCGACGAGTATGTTAGTGTTTTGTCCAGCCCTGCTAGCGATTTATGTTGTGTTTCACACTTTTGCATAATATTTGTGTTACTGCCTTTTCCATTTATTTGCTGTCTATCACGTTGCTGATATTATTTTTCGGGTTTTGTTGTCACAGATCTATTGTCTCTGAGCCGAGGGTCTCTCGGAAACAGCCTCTCTATACCCTTCGGGGTAGGGGTAAGGTCTGCGTACATTCTACCCTCCCCAGACCCCACCGATGGGATTTTACTGGGTTGTTGTTGTTGCTGTTGTACCCAAGGCCAAGTAGTCACCCTAGTGGATGAAAACAATGGGAGACCAAGGTTCAAATCCCAGCAAGACAAAAAAACACTAGGTGATTCTTCCCATTTGGCTAAGCTTTAATGGACAGAGTTACGCAGTACATATGCCAGTGAGAAGTACCAGATACCTAGTATGGTCGAGGTGCTCACAAGTTGGCTTTGGTACCACCTTTAAAACAAAAAAGAAGGGGGAAAGGGTTCATATTTACCCCTGAACTATCCAATTTGTCATACATTTACCCTTCGCTTGACTATTGTTCCATGAAAGCTCTCACTGTTATCTTTCATCTCAAATATGCTCCTCCGACTTACGTTTGTCCAGTTTGGCTCTGACATTTGTCACGATGAAGCTATATGGACAAACAAAAGATCCAGTTTTATCCCTAGACTATCAAATAGGTTTATATATACCCGCTTATATAGTTTTAAGCATGGTCCTGAACAACAAAAAGTCCAAATATACCCTCGAGCAATAGAAAAATGCTAAGTTGCTCGACACGGCAGTTTAGGTGCCGCACCCGTGTCGACACGACACTAGTATGGTTGTGGGTATGGGATCCGTACAGGATTTGGTCAAACAATTTTGGGTACTTTGACCATGACGGACGGAAACATTCGAGACGAGATACAATTTGATTCCTGAAATCAGAACCAAAACTAGGGTAAATTTGAAGAAAATAGCATACCTTGTCTAGGAAATCAATGCTTTACCTTTTTACAACTTGAGAATAAAAAAGAAATCTACACTTTACAAGCTATACGTAAGTCTTCGACAAAATTTCTCATAATTTAGAGATATTTTTATAATGTTGAATTATTTTTAGCGGGATCCCCGCACCCGTATCTGTACTAGGATCCGTATCCCTGAATCTTAGAATTTACATCTCGAAGGAGCCGACCTCTAGATCCGCACCCATGTCGGACACCCGCACCCAAGGCCGGCTCCAACCTTATGACTAGTAAGGCTTGTGCCTTAGGCCCCCAAATTCGAGGGGTCCCATTTTTAAAAAATAATAGGTTCATAGGTATTTAAAAAATAATATTTAGTAGTTTTAATACAAAAGTAGAGTTGTTAATATTAAAGGAAAGAAACCTTTTTAGATATATAATTAAAGTAACAATTTGATTTACTTAAAAATGGGTAGATCAAAACCCTCGGGGTTGGCCTGGTGGCAATAGACTTGAGCCTTGGAGTTTGCTCCCTTTCTAGGTCTCAAGTTCGAAACCCGCTGGGTGCAAACAATTTCTGAGGGCCATTGGACTGGGTAAAACCTGAATTAACCGTGGTGCACTTGCGGGAAACTCCTTGCCGAGGGCCTGTGCACCCCCGGGATTAGTCGGGGCTCTTAGAGACTCGGACACCCGGTGCAAATCAAAAAAAAAAAAAATGGGTAGATCAATAGTATTTTCAACTTCAGTTTTCCACTTTTTACTCCTTCATTAAAAAATTTAATCTCTTCCTTAATTTGTCCAAGTCAATCTTTTTTTTTCTTCCCAATCTCTTCATATTTCAGAAAACCCTACATATTTTGTCTTTCTCTTTGATATTCTTACCCACCTTCTTTCTCCAAGATTTCATTACTCACCTTCTTTCTCCAATATCTAGTTCAAGTGTTCAGCAATATTTTTAAGCTTTCAATAGTTCTATACTTCTATTTGCTTTGTAAAATCTTATCTAAGATCGACAATATCTCAAGAAAAATTAAATAAGTTAGCTATATTATCAATCGAGCAAGAATTATTAGAGAAAATTGATTATAAAAAAATTTTAACAACTTTATATCTCAAAAAGTTAGAAGAATAGACTTCAAATAAAAACATATTTTGTAACTTTTTTTAAAAAATTTGGGCCTCATATTAAACTTTGGCTTTAGGCCCGTATATGCTTGAGCCGCCCCTGCACGCACCCGTATCCGAGCAACTTAGGAAAATGTCCAAATAATACCCATATGTGGCGTCCATTGTATTAGCCAAATCAGATCAAGTTTTCCACGATGGAAAATCGTTTGCATAGGGGCATATTGAGACAAAAAATAATGGTGGGGGCTTTCATGAACGGAGGGCAAATGTAAGACAAATTGCAAACATTAGGGCTTATTTGGACCTTTTCCCAAAAGAAAATTTTCCATTCTTGAATCTGGATGATAAAATATTATATATAACAACTATGTGGTCTTATTATGGACTTTGTTGCTTGAATGTGTTATAGAAATTTAACAATTTTACATAATGTTGGTTATCAGAAAATATTTTTTATATGTAATGAAATATTAGAAAATAATTAAGTCTCCAAAATAAGTAGCAAAATTATGTAAGTGTTCGGTTGTTGAACATGCTTTAGTTTTCAATTTTTAGTCAGTTCTTAGTATGCTACTATGCTTACTAATCTTCTTTTGGCTAACACCTCTAATATCAACAATTAGCTTTAGATAATTTTGGGTGAATGCAATAAAGAAACAACCTATAGCATGTTCTTTGTGCATAAACTGAATTTAGTTCATCCAAATAATGAAAAATATGGTAGGGAAGCGAGAAGGAAAATAAGTAAATTTTGAAAATGCAACTGATATAGCATTCGTCTGAATGGTAGAAGATGAATGAAGTTTGAATCATTTGTTGCTAAAGACTTTTAACCTAAGTTGCTCCGACATGGCAATTTAGGTACCGCACCCGTGTCGACACGACACTAGTATGGGTGTGGGTATGGGATCCGTACCGGATCTGGTCAAACAATTTTGGGTACTTTGACCACAATGGACGGAAATATTCGACACGAGATATAATTTGATTCCCAAAATCAAAACCAAAACTAGGATAAATTTGAAGAAAATATCATACCTTATCTAAGAAATCGATCCTTTACTTATCTATAACTTGAGAATAAAAAGAAATCCACACTTTACAAGTTATACTTAAGTATTCCACAAAATTTATCATAATTTAAAGATATTTTTTAATTTTTAGTCGGATCCCCGCACCCGTCCGTATCCGTATTAGGATCCGTGTCCCCGAATCTTAGAATTTACATCTCGAAGGATCCGACATCTAGATCCGCATCCGTATCGGATACCCGCACCCGTGTCCGAGCAACTTAGCTTTTAACCTCTGGCAGACACTAGGAATAACTCGAGAAGTGCTATCACCTTAGCATCTGACCTTTTCCTAGGTGAAGCTAGTTTTGTAACAGATAATTGAAATGACTGTAGTTGGCATGTGTAGTAATTCCATAACAGTGTTCCTACAGCATTCTTTCTTACAATTAATGAAAAGAGTAACCAGTTGGTTGATTCACTACAGATCCATCATTGAGAAGCTTGGAAATGATAAAATGGCAAGGATAAAAATACTTGGAATGGAGGAGGTAAAGCAAAGTTTCTATGGCCAACTTGTATTTGGTGAAGGAGTGGCGTCTGACCTAGGTGAGCAACTGGCTAAAGAAGCAAGAAAAGCAGGTAAATTGCATCGACAATCTGGTAAAATTTCATTGCATAAGCTGGTTGTCTCTCTTTTACCATATCTCACTATAAGAAACTGCATACCTCTATATTGTTTCCCAGTTTCTGCAGAGGAGCAAAGAATTGCTAAGGAGGTTGCTTCCATGCTAAAGTTGAGTGTCGACATTGATACAACTTCAAGTGAAGAGTTAGTCCTATCATTCTCTTCATTGTTGGTTTTTCTTTTTCGGGTCGTTTTGATGGATACATTTCCAGTTTTACACCGTATGACATCATATTACCTGGATGAAGATGCTTGATGGAGCTTATCAAAAATCAATAAATAAACTACACTTCAATCTTGACATAGTTGGGATCTTATCAACAATTTAAAAAAAAAAAATTGAAGATGCTTAATGGAGGGCGCCAATATGCCTTTTCCCACATGCTTTGGAGCTGGAGATTTCATGTATCTAACTGGTAGTTTGAGACATGCCAAAGGGAAAAAAGAAATTATTTTCTACGAATTTACTCATCTAATCAGAGTTGTCAGGAAAAAAAAACTCTGGTGCAAAGAGAACTACTCCTTTTTTTTCTGGTAGATCACAATAAACACGTAACAGGTTAGCTTCTTATTGATCTCATATGTGCTATTACAGACCTTGTTATATGGACTAAGTTACAAATACTGGGTGAATGTTTTTATCTGATAGATGTAAGATCACTTTTATGCAAGTTTTTACAGTGTATTCTGAAGGATCATGCCAAATCATTGGTTTCGAAATCACATTGGCCAAACTAGTAGGTGATCTTTCTATTTGTTAAAGAGCATCTTTAAATCATAAGAACAACTGCTGAATCATTGGGGTTACACGGAATTGAATGCAACTACTAGATATTATTACGGATTCATATGCTGACCTCCTTTCAGTGTACTATCATGGATTCATATGCTGACCTGGTACCTGTTGCTGGTGGGAGGTAGCAGGTATCCTGTGGAATTAGTCGAGGTGCGCGTAAGCTGGCCCGGACACCATGATTATCCAAAAAAAAAAAAGAATCTGTAGTGAAATAGCCATATACCAATGTTGTACCTGTTGGACACTGGTATATCAAAGGAAAAGAAGAGTCCATGCAACATACTGGATCATATAGCTCGCCTTTGGAGCTATTTGTGGTTCAAGCCAGACGTATGCTTGCATATTCGTCCATAGGCCAAATCTGTATTCTGAAACATTTGGGGACAATTAATCTGCAAATTCATGCATATTTGTATTGAGTGCATATTGCATCTTGGTACACAGCAAGTCTGCAACAGTTTGGTTATTTAGTGGCTGGTAAATGTGGTCAAGTCTAATACTTTATCTTCGTCTATTGTAGAATGAAGAATGTTGTGGCTGCATTACGGGCAGGGGCAGAATATGCCAATGTACCTGTGGATAATTGTGTGCTTGTTGCCGGAAGTCAATCTGGGGTTGCTGGAGCAGAGCGAATTGGCATGCCTTGCGTTGTGGTCCGGGGCAGGTAGATTTTTCAATCAAAAGTTTAAATACCAAAATCTTGAATGCAGTAGAAATACGTTCTGTCTTTAGCAGCAAGCATATATCAATCAATTAACTACCTCTATCCCAAATAAGTCGGGATCGGCTATATAAATCCTATGTAACCATGCTCTTTATCGGTTCATTTCATATCAGGACTAAATAATTTGTTCTTTTAAGGGAAATTAGGGGTTCCTAGTACTAGAGGTTCTCTAAGTTTTGCCCTTATCCAACACGAACATACAAGTCTCTAACAGTGGACCTAATATAAGTATAACAACAACAAATAGTTCCATGTTAGCTAATTTACTTCCTGATAATTTGCTTTCTAAATATGCTGTTTAAATGTTATATTAGCATAAACGTCGATGGACATCTTTGTTGAATAATTATATTCTTTTTGTTGATGTGTAAAAGTTCGACCGCTAGAGCTGAGTTTCCTGGAGCTAAAGCGATAATGGATGGATTTGGTGGTGGAGATCTATCGATTTCTAGGCTACGACAAATACAGAGGTCCTGATGTTTGATTCAAAAGCTAGTTGCTTCAAAATTTTCAAGCGAGTGTAATTGTGCTGCTGTAAAATTAGTTATATGAGATACGTACTGTAAGTAAAATGTATTGCTCTAGCTGCCATTTATTTTCTTAGTGTACCATTTATGGAATTACGTCTCAATTTTGAGCTTCATTTCGCCTTTCTGGAAAATTTTCAAACATTCTGGTTGTTTGACCAAAGAGTATGGAACCTTTTGTTAAACTAATTAAATAAGAAGATAATGGGTAAATTCTAGCTAAATATAATAAATTCTAGATCTGAAACGTGTTTGTACAAATACGTAGGATTGCGTTAAAACCAATTTAATACAATGTGTATTAGATGATGTTGCTATGAATGAGTGGGTTATAATGATAAGCAATAAATATGTTAAATGTCAAAACCAATTTAATACGATGTGTATTAGATGATGCTGCTATGAATGAGTGGGGAATAATGATAAGCAATAAATATGTTAAATGTCAACAAATGTAAATAGAGAGAATGATTCACCCAATATTGAATGAGGTGATATGAATATATGGAATAAACAACAAATTGAATCTCTTTAAAAGGTAGTATTTGTATTATACTTGAGAGTCAACTTTTCAAGAGAGCTCTTTATCATATAGAATATTACATGCCCCTTTTCTTCTCTCTACCTTTCTATTTATATGGGACATACCCTTTATCTAACATAAAGTACAAGTGCAGTGAATATTCAATAGAATATTCCCCTGAAATGTCTTGCTACAAAACTAGCCGTTATAGCCGACCTGAGTGTTCGACCTCGGCCCCGGTTACTCAGCTCGCCAATAGGTTCCTTCCATCTTGAGTACGACCTCGGCCTAATCGTCTCTTAGTAATCTATCTTTGAGCAAGATTCCCTTGGTCAGATTTCGACCCATATAGTTAGTCCCTCCGCCTATCGAGGTTGTTTTTTGGACGAGCTCGATGGGCGGACTTCGCCAGTTGCAACTTGAGAAATCTGGGCGTGCAGGTCGAGTAGTAACATTTATATGGTGAGATGACGATGTGGCGCTTCGAGAGCCACAGATGAATGTTACGTCAGTTTGAAATGACATCATTTTATCATGCGTAATTATGGCGCATGTTCCTGATACGTTATGTCGTTTCCCACGCCCCTTCCATTTCGAAATCAATGTGGCGGCGCTTGGCTTTCTCAATTAGGGTGCCAATATTCTTATTAATAGGGATAGGAACCCCCCATTTGATTTGTTGCATTTTTAAGTATTTGAATCTTCAAGCTTTCTCTTCTTCTCCTCAGAGTTCTTGCATCTTTATTTCTCACCATTTTAGCGCTTTCTGCCATTATTACCCATGTCGTATTTATAATTTCTTCCCTTTTACGTGACAAAAAAAATGGCTAGTGCATCTTCTAACTTTGAGGGAGCTTCTGATTTGGTTCCATTGACGGTGGACATGCCTTCTCACGATGAAGGAGAAGCCATGGCTGTAGAAGACGAGAGTTTCCCTACTGTAGATGAAATAATTCCACGCTCAGAAAGGGCTAGGTCGGACTTCTTGAAGCGGCCTGAAGACGATCCCGAGCCTGCCATCTCTGAGATAGATGTGGCGGCCCTCGTTGAATTTAGGGCCAAATGGTGAATCCTAGACCATATCGACCTCATCCCGACTGGTGACGATGTGGTACAAATTCGTCGCCTTGGATACCGCGCATTCTACACATATCCATTTGTTGTTGGCTATTCGCTTCCTCTTTCTTCCTTGGCGGAGGATTTTTGCCGTTATTATGGCGTCTGTCCGGCCTAGCTCTCCCTGTACATCTATAAGATTTTTCTTATGCTGATAAAGTACGCAGAGCTAGCCAACCGCGGGATCTCTCTCTGCCATCTGCTTCATCTCTTCGCCCCAAGTTTTCACAGGGGTACGATGATACACCTTCGCCATTAAGACAGAGCACGTGGTGTCGAACCCCAAAGGATTTCCTCAGAAGTGGAACTTTGCTCGTAAGTGTTTTCGCGAACTGGATATTTGTTGTTTCTCTTCGGTGACTTAATCGTTCTTCCACTTTTCTCTTTTTTTTTTATATGCATCCGAAAAATCTCCTCCTTCGTTGGTCGCCGATATTCGCGACTGGGTGAGCCAAATTTTACCTCACACGGTGGGGATCTGTGAGTGGTCGCAGTTCAATAAGAAGTTTGAACGTTAGCATTCTTCGATCGGTGAGTCATCTTGTTTCGATCTTAGTTGCTTCGACCTTCATACCGTCTTCTCTTTTTTTTTTAACTTTTTTTTCTTTGTTGGTAGGCCGGAGGGAAACGAGGAGGGCGAGGGCTCCTACTCCCGCTTTTCGTTAGTCAAGTGCCTCGACTGGGTCTCTGCTCGTTGTGAATGCAGGCGAGTCCACTCAGATTGCTGTTCCTTCTCGGACCCCGGCCTCGCGTAGGCCTAGCCGTCAGGCAGCTGCCCCACCAGCGGAGACTCCGGCTTCTCCAGTATTGCATTTAGTGGATGAGTCGTCGCAGGGCAAGGAGGAAGAGGCTCCGCTAAAAAGGCGGAGAATAGAGGTTGACGGTGAAGCGATAGAGAACGAAGTGTCAACAGGGGTTGATCCCGAGCTGACCACGGCCGAGCTAGAAGGCGGCATGGCTTTGGTTGCAGAAACTCCTCCCCCTTCGAATGTGGAGATTGCTTCCCTGCTAGGGGTCGTCTGGAGCGATTAGGGGCAATCAGAGGTAGACAAAGTCATTCCGAGGAGTGACCCATTGACGTCGGAGTGGGCCGGTGTACCTTCGTTGTTCGAAGAGAGGGGGAAAAACGTGGCCGGAGATGGCGATGAGTCTAGTTTCGACATCGACACCAAAGAGATACGAATGTTTGATGAGGGGTTGACTCGGGTAGAGGTAAGAACGGAGGGATCTGCTCATGCTATCTCCATTCCCTTGGACTGCAACTTGTTGACGAACACGGAAAGCGTAGTTTCTTCTTTGCTTCCCCTTTGCACTGGCGCCGATACCAAGACCTTACAGACATTCAAGGATGCCGACCTGTCATTAGGCATATCTGGAACGGCTCTAAGGGTAAGTTTTTGACCTTTTGAGTTTTTGTACCTTTTTCTCCTTTCTTTTTCATTGTTTGTTTCTGCTGACTGCTTTTTGCCCCCTCTCCCTTTTTTTTTTTCATCAGACCCTCATTTTGGAGATTGAATGTGCCCGCCGAGAAGAGACGAAGAGGGCTTTGTTCAAGATGATGGAATCCAAGTACAAAGAATATCGTGCCAAGCACCGTGAGTTGTGACACCGATTCGTCATGGATGGTAAATTCCAGTCTCTCAGGGACGAGCTGAAAGAGAAGGACGATGAGCTCATGAGAATCATCGGTGGATGTATCGAGCTCGAGGGAGCGCTTAGGTATAAGGTTGACGAGCTCAAGGTGAGCAGGGGGATTGCGGTCGAGTGTCGATCTTCAATCTCAAGTAGCATCCTTGCGGGCTGAGCTCTAGTAGAGTTCGATCAGAGACAATGACCTGAGTGTCGAGTTGACTGGGAAAATGGCGGAGTTGGAGAGGGCCGAGGAGGCCAGGGTGACGACTTTGGCGAATGTGGCGGCATTGGAGGAGGTCATCCGTGTCCTTAGGTCTGAACGGGCGAGCGAAGCTGAAACGGCCGCGCTCAGGGAGGCACAGATTGATGAGCGAATTGGCGGGCTCGAGAGAGATGTTTCAAACCTTAGAGATCAAGTTGCTTCTCTTGAGGCCGAGAAGGCGCGGCTGTTGGCTCGACCGTCCTCCTATCATACTTCTAGTTTCCCCGACGTTCCGCATCACTTGTACGAGATGTGGATCCACGCCGAGGCACAGCTGGACATATATATGGATTTGATGACAGCGGGGAAGGTTTCCGAGGCCGATTTTAAGGATGCCCGTGTCAAGGCGCATGTTGCTAGGATTGCCTGCGGTTATAAACCAGCTACTTCGGGGGCCGACGACGGCGATGAGGGGGAAGAATTGGATGATCTTGAGCAGGATGCTTGGTATGAGGAGGAATATCCCCAAGGTGATGGCGGAGGCGACGTTGTTGGGCCGGGTGGTGAAGGCGACAACGAGAAGGTGGAGACGACGTGGAGTATTACTTTGTACTTAGATTAGTTTTTTTTGTTTTCTCTCTTTTTTTTTTGTGGGTGCCTTTCTGGCTGATCATGCCCAACTCTAGTCCTAAAAAGGATAAGCGGTCACTGCAAATATAATCCGGTCTAAGAGTCCGGAGTCGAATCCCACAGAGAACTAAGGCTTAGTTACAGTTGTTCAATATCGCTAAGAAATAAAAGTCCAAAATTTTTCCTAATTATAAAAGATTATAATGTTTATTTTTATCTACTTAACTAACAAATACTAGAAAGCAGTAAAACTATCAATTAACAAGGATAAGGATTGGAGACAAGATTAAGGAGGTCTAGAGTTATGATTTCCCCAATTGTCGGAATCCTTCCCGCTGTGTCTTCTATAATTTCGCCCAAGTATTCTCTACCGATCGTGAGCACTTTGGTTGTCATAATTCTCTCTCGAGCAACTACAATAGTTTACTAGACATATTCTCTCGAACTACGCTAGCTGGCACTTAATTCACCGCTCACTACGATCACACCAAGGTTTCGTTATCTCTAATCCTGCCTTTAAACCCTCCGTATTGATCTCTCACATACGTTAGGAGTGATGTTGTTCAACAACTACCTAAATATATACTCTCTCTCGAGCAGTACACACTAAATAGGCACAGTTAATTGATGGCCATTCAATTAACAGCAACAAACACGTTGTTGAACAAGTAGAGAAATCCAACGGCTCAATTATATAAAAACATAACAAGAATTTATCCTCCAAAAGGTTCCATCAAAACTCTAGATAACAAATTAGTTATTCATAAAAGTATACAAAAATACAATACTAGAATGCATAACCAATAATGGAAATAGGAAGAAGGAAGTGAAAAACTCGTGGAAGAATTCTCCGCCTTGCTCCAAGTGTGTTCTTGCCTCCTTAGGTCGAATCTCCCGTCTCCTTAGCCTCCTTAGGTCTAAATTATGTCAAAAGTATGTCAAAAGTCCTCAAAATACCATTTTTCCATGTATATATACCAAATAGGGTCGGGCCCAAAAAATTCCACCTTCTCCTACGCGAAAA